GGGGGCTCTCCTTTCCTTATGCAGTCCTGGTTCAACATCTCTTGCCTAAGAGGACGCGTAACATTTTGAATGATGGTTGGCATACCTTGCTCTTTCCCACTGATTGTTTTTTAATACCTGTTAGGTACTCCAGTAATAGTAATTCACGAAAACCAGACATAGTGTGTTGGCTAGTCTGTCTCTACAAAATAGGTTGCATTCTTACATAGGCAACAACATAGGACAATTATAACCTATTTTCTGGAGATTATTAACATTTAAAAAGAAACGTTGGCATGTAGCTGACAGTGAAAAACCCTAAGTACATTCTTGCTTTCTGTGTTTCTTCTTTTCTTGTTTACATAGTTTTCTCTGGTGGCTGCGGTGGTAAGTGCTCAGCTGCAAGTGGCAAGTGGTGAGCAGTATGGGACCAGTGACCCTAAAGAAGATCTAAGTCTGCTTCCTTTGAGATTTACGGTATGAGTTCCCAAACTTAATTGGCCTACCCTCCTCCCATCTCTTTTTCAGGAAGAAAAAAAAGGATTTTTTGGTCACTGCCCTTCTGACAACTAAAAGCTTTGGTCCTATAGTCCAGAATCCAGGATGAAGTGCTGGTATGTGCATTTGTGGTCTCTGTGGAGCAGTCCAGCATGCCCTCTCCCTACATTGACGTACAGCCTGGAGCTGCTATAGAATAATCCTTCTCTGCCCTATAGGGTCGCTATAGGACAAAATTTAACAGGCAGTGGGACTGCTGTACAAAGTGGTTTCGAAAAGTTCACATAAAAATCCTATTATCTTATAATTCCATGCTTTTCACAAAAATTTTGGTGCCCTCTGGATTATTCTAGGGAGCGATTTACATGGATACAAAAACAAATCAGAAGTTTGCTAATCAGAGAACAATGATAGAGGAAAATGGTCTTGGTCTTTTAATGATTAGTTTCCTGCAATAATTCTTGGAGTCAATTCAACAAGCACTTATTGAATTTAATGAGTCTACAGAGATAAGTAGGCACGGTCTCTGTCCTCAAGATGTTTCAAAGGCCACACAAAGTCAGAAACCAAGCCAGTGATGAAGCTAGTATGATCCTGGCTGCAGTTTTAAAGAGGCAAGAGAAAAGCAGCCTTCAGACATTTGAAACTACTTTTTATATGACATTAAGAAGGGTCTTAGTTTTGCTCTCTGTAGACACACTGTGCCAGTTTAGTCTTCCAGAAAATCCACTTAGACAGCGAGTAGAAATCCTACAGGGAAATGAAAGAGTGATGTTTTCTGTTTTGTAACTCCTTTTATAGGTCAGTAGCATCGGAGCACCATACAATAAATGTAAGAATCCCCTTAAAATATAATTTCCGGACATTTATAGGTGTCCAGGAACTGGAAAGGGGAGGCTTTAGATGTAGTCCTTGTTACCAAAATGTCCATAATTTACAAAATAGCTCTGGTCTTACAACTGCAGTCAGGGGACAATTGAGTTAAAGGAAACTTTTCAAAGAGGGCTTATGGAAATCCAGTTAATAGAGCTGTCCTGTCCTATCACTTAGAAGAGCTCTGATGGCACAGTGCTTAAGTGCTTCACTGCTAAGCGGAAGGTCATCCAGTGAAGCCCACCAGTTGCTCTATGGGAGAAAGGTCTGCTTCTGTAAAGATTCACACCCTTGGGATCCCTGTGGAGCAGTTAACCTCTCTCCAACAGGGTTGCTATGAGTCTAGTTTATAGCAGCTGGTTATCATATCACTTAGTATACCCACTGTAATAGTTTAATCTACTTTCCAGTACCCACCCTCCACTTGCAAAGGATTCAGTGGTCAGAAATACTGTCTTTCTCAATGACTACTCGGTGCCTGGTACAAACTCAAAAGACCCAACTTACTACCATCAAGTTACTTCACTCAGAGGGACCTATAGGAGAGGAGACCTGTCCTTGTTGGTTGCCAGGCTTGTAAATTGTTATGGGAGTAGAAAGCTACCTCTTTCTCTTACAGAGCAACCTTGTGGTTAGCAGCCCAAAGCTACACCAATACACCACCAGGAGTCCTCTGGCACGTGCCCAAAACCAAAACTAAACTCTATGCCTTCGAGCTAATGGTGACTCATCTAGGGTGACAGAGTAGAACTGCCCCTGTTTGTTTCTGAGACTGTTGTTTTTTTCCTGAGACTGTAACACTTTATTCTAATAGAAATCTTCATCTTTCTTCCCCAGAGTGGCTGGTGGTTTCAAACTGCTGATCTTGCAGTTAGCAGCCCAAAGTATAACAACTATGATACCAGGACTCCTATATTTGCCAAAGAAAGACAGACTTGCCAAATGTGTGAATGAATATATTTTCCACATCCCCCAAATCTTACTACAAGAAATTCCCTATCAAGAAAAAGGAAGGAGTTTTCAACCCGTTGAGTCTTTTTTCCTATTTGATTGACCGTTTCATTGTTCTATTATTTCTCTACAACTAGAGTTTCTATGAGGCCCATATCATTTATGTAAAAAAAGTTTCGCTTTGTTTTTTATTATATGAATTCTCTATTAGTTTTAGAACTCATTTTAGAATGACATAGCTAATGACAATTATTCTTCTTGTAATAACTTAAAAGAAAGTAGGTATGGAGTTTATATTTGCAACAATGTTTAATTTCACAGAATGCCAACCAACTTTTATTAGATAAGTGTCATTTCACTCTCACTGAAAGAGAAGACTGTGTTTCTGGTAGCTTAAAAATATCAACTAACATTCAGCAATCAAAGGCATTTTTATGATTGTAATTCTTTACAGTTTCTATTTATGAGATGAGTAAATGTGTCCATTGGAATAAAAACGAAGAGATACTATCAAGCTAGAAACGTACTGTGCTAAAGTTAATACTCCAGTTACCTGCTGCTGAGAAACAAATCACGCCAAAACCCAGTTGTCCAGAACAACATGATTTATTTTTTCTTATGTTACAGGCTGACTCGGTGGTTCTTCTGGCAGTCTCACTGGGGTTTACCCTTGTGGCTACAGTCAGCTGGCAGATGGGCTGGGGGCTGGGCTCAGTTGTGACAGCTGGGGTGGCTGGGTGCCTTTTTTCATGTAGATTTTTACAGGCTTCTTCATAGGCCTGTGAGTCTCAAAGCCATGGCTATGAGGGCAATAGTAGAAAGGCCCCTGAAGATCTAGCCTCTCTTTCCAAACACATTCATTTCTACCACATTCTACTGGTTAAAGGAAGTGTCTTCATCATCAATGGCACATTGCATATGGCACAGAACCCATGACATCATGAATAACTAAATCACAAATCATTATACGAATAGTCTCCTACAATATGCCCCCTGGCTACAGTGATCCACGGCTCTCCTATAAGCAAACTACACTTATACCAAGACCCCAAATGTCATCTAATCAACAAAGTCTTGGTTCTTGTTACCTAAATTAAGCCCAAGTGCAGACAAGGTTCACTGGATTGGGTTCCAGAGGCACACCATCTATCTGTTGACTCTCTGACCTGTGAATTAAACAAATGATGAGTTCTGCTGATTGCACCCCACAGCAGGTGGAGTTGGGGGTGGGGGTAGCAGGGAAAGGGGAAGAGAGGAGAGAAAATACTTTGAACTAGAAGATAAACTAAAATTCTAATTCTAAAATCCAGCCTAGCACAAGTCCCCACTTCTCTTGATCCCAGAGGACGAATTCACCCTTGTTAGGGCACCGTTCTTCAGGGTGTATTTAGCTTCTTCATCTATTGCTCTCGGTGGCTCTTGGTTTGGCCCACTGAGTTCTCCTTTCTTTTGGTAAGACATGATTCCTAGTTGTAACTTCTTCAGCTAACTTTTTCCTGCCTCCTCGCCAAAGAATGTTGCAAGCCCTGAAGGCTGTTTGCATTTTGAATAGTCTCTGTTTCCAAGGTTTTCCAATGAATCTGATTTGGGATGACTTCATGTCCCCAAACCACAGCAACAATTCTTTTTGTGACAGGTATCCCTCTATGTTAGGTTGTATTTGAGTCTCTTCATATGATTCAATCTCATTTGTCTGTCTAAAGGAGTCTCTTCATCATGGTATTAAATTTCTGAGAGTTCTTGACAAGGGGTGTTCATAGCCAGACTCATTATTTAAATTTACCTTTAGGGTATTTCTTATATTGATGGTCTTTTACTTGATGTCCATCTTTTATTGTTAGTTGCTGGTTCCCTAATTCCAACTCATGGTGACCCCATGTGCATAGAGCAGCACAGCACCACACTTTCCAAGACTATGAACTTGGGAAACAAGATTGGTAGACCTGTTTGCTGAGGCACCTCTGGGCATGTTACCACCACCAACCGCTCAGCTGGTAGTCGGATGCTTAACCTTTTATATCATTCAGGGGGTCATAGAGGTCCTCAAAACTGTGTTGTAAACTAAAAGCTCATTCTCTAATTCCCGATGTAGTAGATTCCTTCTCTATTTCTCGTGATTCCCCCAAAGAAGTCCAAACCTTTATCCCTGTAACTTGTGAATGTTACCTCACATGGCAAAAGAGTATTTGCAGTTGTGATAAAAGATAAGGATCTTGAGATGGGGAAATTATTCTAGATTATACAGATGAGCTCAATGTAGTGATCAGACCAAAGAGCCATGGTCACATTCATGAAAGAAGAAAGTCAAAGCATGAAAGGGACTCCACTGGGTGCTTTTAAGATGGAGGGAAGGGGCCATGGCTTCAGGAGTGTTAGTTACTGGTCTCTAGATGCTGGGAATGAGCCTCGGTGGCAAGGAAATGGTGGTCTCAGGCTTACAACCACAAGAAACGGAGCTCTGCATGCTAACAGAATGAGGGGGGAAATAGATCCTCCTCTGTAGCCTTCAGGAAGGAACTCGGCGCCTCACTGACACCTCGATTTTAGGTTGGTAAGGCCATGTTGAACTTTTAAGCTACAAAAGTATAAGACAATAAACTTGAGTTGATTTAAGTCATAAAATTTGTGGTGAAGTGTTACGGCAGCAATAGAAAATACAACTTCTCTCTTGCAATACCTTATCAAGCAGTTGAAAATGCTAATTGTCTTTTTCAACGTTCTGCATGGAAATTATTTTGTGAAATCATTAAGTTCGCTAAGCATGTTTTCTCTGCCATTACACTGACCACAGGCAAAAGTTCACTGTTCCATCTCTGTTCTCTAGTCTTCAATGACATGTCCTTTCTTGTTCTTCTAGCTTCTAGGAAGTCTGCTCTCCAGCCATGTTGGCATCCACCTACTGCTTGGCCTTAAGAGACCAATGCTGTGTATTTGGAGATTGGTTAGAGCAATGCTTATTTCTGTGACATCTAGGCTTTCAGCATCAACTTCTGTTGGGTCTATCTGTTGCTCTGTACTTCCTGGCAGATTTATTTATTGCTTTGCAAAAATTCTCCAATGTACCTTACAGTTGTTACATTATATGGTAGTATTGTATGTATTCTGCTTGCTATCATGAAACTTCTTAGCTGCCTCAGTATGCCAGAAAGGGTGTCAGTTAAGCATGAGAGTTTCAGGGTCTTTAGGGAAAGCACACTGGGGCCAGGGGGATAGCAGGGAGGTACACTTTCAAGTTTAAAGAGACAGACTTAGATTTCACATTAAATATGAATGTCTCTGTACTTTTTCATAGCCTGAGAAGGCAAGAAACTGCTTCTTTGAAGGGGGAAATTTGAAGAATGGGTTTTCTATGTTAAAGCCCAGAGTGAATAGCTTTATCCTCAGCTCTGAGGGAGTTTGCTTATTTCTCCAGCAGACAGCAGAATTGTATTGCAGAGAATTTTTTTTTTTTTAACATTTTATTAGGGGCTCATACAACTGTTATCCCAATCCATACACACATCAATTGTGTAAAGCGCATTTGTACATCATTTCTCAAAACATTTTCTCTACATTCAAACCCCCGACATTAGGTCCTCATTTTTCCCCTCCCTCCCTGCTCCCCCCTCCCACATGAGCCCTTGATAGTTCACAAATGGGTATTTTGTCATATCCTGCCCTGTCCGACCTCTCCCTTCACCCACTTTTCGGCCGTCTGTCCCCCAGGGAGGAGGTCACACACAGCTCCATGCAATCGGTTCCCTCTTTCCTACCCACTCTCCCTCTACCCTCCCCGTTTTGCCACTCACACCACTGGTCCTATAGGGCTCATCCATCCTGGATTCCCTGTATTCCCAGCTCCCATCTGTACCAGTGTACCTCCCCTGGTCTAGCCAGTCTTGCAAGATAGAATTCGAGTCATGGTAGTGGGAGCGGGGAGGAAACCTTTAGGAACTAGAGGAAGGTTGTATTTCTCATCATTGTTACATCGCACCCTGACTGGCTCATCTCCTCCCCGAGACCCCTCTGCAAGGGGATCTCCAGTGGCCTACTAATGGGCTTTGGACAGAGAATTTTTTGATGATGTGCTATCTGCTACAGGAGGCAAGTGGGAGTTTAAAATGGTTCAGTTAGGGGCAGTATTAGGAGAAAACCCTTTCATATTTATACCTTGTTGAGTTGTTTAATAACATGTCAGAAAACTGGAGAGAAACACACACACACACACAAATCAAAAAGCATTGCTACTGGGGTTCCAGCTCAAAAATGCATGGGCTTATTTCAACAAAATGTGTTTAAATATGTCTCTGCAATCAGTGGATGGCTGCACACAAGTATGTTCTCTCTCTTTTTAAAACAATCATTTTACTGGGGGCTCGTCCAACTCATCACAATCCATACATCAAGTATGTTCTCTTAATGCACTTCTCTTAGTTTCATTCATGTGCCTTAAAAAGGGGCCAAATCCAAATAGTAACTTCCTAGGGGATCTGCTTGGGCACTTAAATCCACAGGCCAGCACAGAATGAACATTGTGGCTGCTGTTCTTGGAGATTCCAAAGAGATAATGTTGATAGATTTTCTCAAAGGACACATGACAATCATGGAGGCTCATTATGAAGATATTTTAAGAAAATTGAAAATTGCATTGGTGTGAAAAAAAAGAAGGAAAGTTGAACTGAGGATTTATTTTTCATTATCATGATAATGCACCTGATCATTTAAGAGGAGCGTGATTTGAATCCCTGCAGAAACAAGATTTGAATACCTAAACTGCTGTCTTAACATAAATATAAGTTGAAGAGTGCAGAAATTTTCAAAGAAGAGTTAGATTAAACCATTGCCCTCAGAAGTATGTAAACCTAGATGGAGGCTATGTCCAGAAATAATAGTTCCACTTTTTTTTTCAGTTTTTAACTTGCTTTAATCATATACAGGCCTCACAAAAATACAAAAATATGGAACGCTTCACGAATTTGCGTGTCATCCTTGCGCAGGGGCCATGCTAATCTTCTCTGTATCGTTCCAATTTTAGTCTATGTGCTGCCGAAGCGAGCTCTAGTTCCACATTTTGATATTTTGTTTATTAGAATTTTGTAGCAAGACTTTCTGACATACACTCGAATTTGAATACATATATATCATATATATAATATTGGTGTATCAGAATTCACTTTACTGATTCTAACTTAAAAAAAAGAGTTATTGAGCCATAATTAACATATCATACAATTGAATAGTTCAATCTTTCCTAGAAGGGTTGTGTAATCATCATCACAATCAACTTTGGGACCTTTTCTTCCTTCTTAGACCCATTAATGTTAACTTTCCATTTTCTCCTCCCTATCCCCTTCCATTCCCCCAGGCAGTCATTACTTTAGCTAAGATCTTCAGAAACCCACCCATCCCATTTCCTTATACAGAAAAACAAACAAACAACAAGGACCCAGTAACAATGACCACATCAAACACAAAGACCTGAAAAAAACTAGAGAAAACAGAAAACCTCAAAAACTAGAATAAATTTACAT